CTCAAACCCCAAAGCCTCATTGTCATAGATGGAATCAAGCCTTCGGATTTCCGAAGTTGTTGTCTGGCCTTATCGGCCAGTTAATTGTGTACTACTGTTGGCTTTACCAATTATGTTTTGTTGCTTTCCAGCTTCTAGTGCCGACTTTGGCTTATTTTCAGCCAAATAGGCCGAAATTCGAGTCAAGCTCTCTGACTCAGTAGTCATTTTCATCAATTGTAGGCCACCCTATGGGTGGAACTCCTTTTGTGGGCTCCATTGTGGCATCAGTAACATCCTAAATGAATCCATATTCATGATCCAAGTTTAGGATGCGACCCGTTTCGACAGAAGTATAAGATCCTGGTCCATTATCACAAGGTTTCACATTTTCTAAGTGTTGGTCAAAAGATTTCTTTGTACATTTTGCTTCATCGATCTTGTAATAGCTCTGTTCGGCTTCGATATGTTCGACGATGTCGTCTTTCTTCCAAATGCTTAATCTCTGATTTTGAGTTGAGGGAACTACCCTTATCCCATGGATCCAATCTCAACCCAACAATATGTTAAATTGGCCTTTGAGTTTATAACCATGAAGAGCGTTGATCGGTTAGTTGTACCTACAGCTAAATCGACTTGGACAACCCCAAGAATGTTATTGGTTTTCCCTTCATAATTAGACAAAACCATGTTATGTTGTCTGAGATCAGCTTCAGTTTTTCCAATCTTCTTGAACAACGTATGAGGCATTAGATTGACAGCTGCCCTTCCGTCTACAAACACTTTGTTGACTGCCACTCCGTCGACCTTCGCTTTTAAGAACAACGACTTTAAATGGTACATCATTCCAGGACTAGGTCTTTCAAACATGGTTGTTCGTTCTTCCACCACGCCATTGTTCATCACATAGTAACATAGTGGCTTGTCTTCTGTAGTCTCGTCTGGCACACAATCTTCTTCTGCTTCAGAGGCTTCCGACACCCTATCATATTCCGCCCGCAATATTGATACGATTCCGCAGTTTACAACGAAATCCTCACCATATGTATCATCATTGGTGTACACGTCTTCTTCGAAATCGCCTTTTGGTGATGGGGTATATTCCTCATCTGACTAGGGAGTGTACTTTAGTTCTTCCTCATCTGACTGGGGAAGTTATTCTAGTTCTTTCTGGTTTTCAACTCCAGATGTGTACTTCGAGCTCTAGGCTGACACCACCTTCTTCTCTCCTGAAGCTTCCACATTTACTGCCGTAGTCTAATTCATCACAATTTTTCCTTCTCGACCCACCTTGCCTTTGGATATTGTCTTTTTAGTCCAGAGGTTCCGACAGGCTTCAGTTGTGAAGTCGGAGCCTCTTTGGCAGCCTTCTTATTCGTTGATACTGCCTCCACTAGGTCCTTGTCATAGGATTCTTCCCTTTGTAATTGGGGTAAACCATATAGCCCCTGAGTTCAGTCCTCTTATTAGAGACCTTTACCTCCTTTTCTAGATCCAGCGCCTTCCATTTCAGCCTCTTGCTCCCCTTCTGGCTCACGGGTGCCACGTACTTATCCTGTGGAGTGTATGATGGCGGCACAAAAGTCTTGGGTCGCATCTGCTAGAACAGCTTCCTGTACTCTTCATTTCGACAAGGAGCACCATCCTGGTCGAACACAAACCTTGGGACTGGTGGCTTACTGTCTTGCAGTTCCATTTTCCTACCCACTTCATACTTCTCAGCAGCTTTTTCAACAAAGACGGCATTTCACCTTGGGCATAACATAGCCTTCAACCCGCTCACCCTGCATTTCTCTTGGAAATCCATCAGACTTTCGCCAGCTTGAGGGTAGACTGTCTTGAGTTTCTCCTCAGATTTCTTGTCGAGACCGTCAGTACTCTCGACCATCATACATTCAAAATAATCGATTGTTAAGTGCTTGTTGAGACCCTCAGTAGCCTCAACCATCATGGAGTCATACAACTAAGAATATAAGGCTTCTTCGACCTTCAGAGGATTCGTGTCCACTTGCATCTTTGGTCTTTCGCCAAATTGAAGCCGACCTTCCTTCAAAGCTTTCTACACCAAATCCCTGAAAAGAACACATTAAGATGTCTTATGACCCAGGAAATTATGAAATTTACAAAATCCTTTTTTCTTCTTTTGTTATAAAGGAGAGTGTTTTGCCCCAGGATGGACAATAATCTGACCATCTTTAACTAATAAATCAAATATTTCTTCGCACTTAGATACATCAAAAGTATACGTTTTCGCGACGTATTTATCTATTTTTTTAGTTTCGACAGGATTTTTTTCATTTGATGGTTTTAATAATTTGCACGTGTAAGGAGGCCTTGGCTTCAGTTCAGCCATGTTAACCTCGCTTTCGTCGACGAGCTCCTCATTGTTAGGAGAATATTCGTCATCGGCCACGTATGAAACTTTCTCTTTTTTGCGGTATCTGTTAGCCTGATTTTTTTCATTTTTTAAGCATTCGACCTGTCGGACCCTATCAGCTAGCTACGCCATATCTCTGAGATATTGCGTGTCTAACTTTTTCTTGATTGAACAATCTAGGCCGCCAGCCGCCATTTCGACTAACTCGTGTTCAGGGACTTGCGTGAAGCATTGCGCTTTCAAAAGTCTAAACTTGTTAAGATATTGGTCCACTAACTCTGTGGCCTTTCTTTTGAAATGGGTTGACTCTTTCAGACTAGTTTTTTATCGTCCCATGTAAAACTGTTCATGAAACAACCATTCTAATTGTGCCCAGGATTGTACAGACTATGGGGGTAATATGGTGAACCACGTAAATGCATTCTTTGTGAGGGAACTTGGAAAATACTTCATTTTCAAGTCCTCGTTGTTCGCTACATCATCTGCTTCGGTTTGATATCTTCCAACATGTCCGGCGGTGGATTCATTGGTCTCTCCGGCGAATTTGGTGAACTTCATAACCTTCAAGCCCCTGGACAACTCTGTTTCACGCGAACAACCTCTGACCTACTGACGCAAGTTTACTTGCGGGACCGGCCAAATAAATCCCAGAACTAACCGGTCGAGTATATGAGATGGTGGCTGAATGGTGTTGTTTAGAATAGGTTGAAGACAAATTTGAGAAAGACTGTGTAGACTTAAATAAAGACAAATGAATAAACAAGAAAAGACAAAAACAAAATTAAAGACAATAAATTTTTAAATTTGGTAATATAAATTGTTGTTAAAAGGAAATGTGGACGTGATTACACATTTTGCAGGAATGAAACTCTTTTCTCTTAACGCTTGGTACTCAGACTGTTTTTCCTTTACAATATTACAAAATGAATCCCCCTAAAATGAACATGGGCATTGCCTTAAATAGGAAAATAAAATAACTGTTATGTTGATCTTGGTGGCGCCACGTGTCCTTCTACCACTTTTGTAACTTCCCACGTTCTCAGCTTTTTAAATTTTCTTCCCGCTCAAACATTCTTATACTTCGTGTCGAGTTCCTTGCCCATCATTCGACATCTTCGACAGAATAGGCCTGAGTCGACTCACAAAACTCCCTCTGCTAGCGTCGACTTACATCATTTTCTTTACCACCTTTCCCAGCCTGTCGACCCACAAGCCAATATCTGCGTCGCCTTTCCTTACTCGAAACTTCCAGCCAACAACAATACAAGTGCATACTTCATATGAAGCAGTTGAAAGAGATGGTGTGAATGTTATTCATAACAAGCATGAAGAATGCATATGGGGAAATTAATAAATAATTATTTTTTTATTGTTTATTCATAATTTATTGTATATTATAATTTTTAAGGTTATTTACTAACAATTATTACTATTTAAAATTATAGGTGTTTAAAGTCAAGACAGTAAGAGACAAGACACGTTTCTCATGTGGTAGATATTATTTGATGTAATGATGTTATAATTTATTGTATGTTGTTTGTGCTATTTTGGTTTTGATGTAAATATACAATTTTTTGTTTTGATGTAATATACAATTTTTGGTTCTAAAATCAATTATTGCTTTCGATGTAATACTATTTTGATCCATTTTAGTTGCCAACAATGAGCTTGGTTCACAAATGATTTTTGTTGCTATTTCTAGTCTATTTACGATTCATAGAAATACAGGTACAAAAATTAGAAATTTTGTAAAAATAAAAAATTTATGTTTAACATGTACAAATTATTTCATCACGATTGGTTAGGTGCAAGCCCAGGACCTTTGGGTTTCTTATTACGTGCATTGTATCTTACAATTATGATGATATGTAGCGTGCTTTTTAATTTATTTCCACGTCCAATAGATCGGATAGTTGTAAGTAGTCAACTTACAACCACATGCTACTTTATCATAGATCATCAACCATGATCATATTTTTTTTCTCAACCGTTGTTATATGTTTTATCCTTAATAGTTGAATCAATTTAATAACATATATTTTGTACGAAAATTTCGTTAACCTGAGAAATTTTTATCAAACATTTTTTAAGAAAATTTTTTAAATTTGTTTTTTATAAAAATAACCTATTCAACATCATCTTCTAGACCATTAAAATTCATATTTTCCGTCCCAACAAAGTCTGGTCTTATTTTGATGCGTCTGTTAGTTGAGTTTGTTCCTATTTTAATGCATCTGCTGTAACAATTTGATCTATAAAAGGACCCTCCTGTATAACTTTATTCATTAAAAAAAATACAAATTATTCACATTAAACTTCTTTTATAAATTGAGAATTTAGAAAGGCCAATTGATAAATTGTCTTGTACATTATTAGAAAAACCACACCAAAGCTTTTAGATATTTTTATCCTGTAAACGTAAATATCCTATGAAATATATAGAGATTTCAATCCAAAATTAAATACTAATAGCAACTATATATAGACTATAGTCAAACATTTGGAGATTTATTATAGCAACACTAGTGCCTTTATTTTTAATCTCCTATACATCAACATACAACCATAAAACATTGAACCTATATATATCTTCAACTTCATTATTACTTGCATATACCATATTTATAGTCACAACTAGATATAACTATTTGTGAATGTTCGATGTGGATGCATTAAAGTCACCCTGAGTATACCCTCCATTGCCATTACCATGGAAATTACCACTGTTATTTACAGTGCGGCCGCCACGATTGTTGGTGGTGCGGCGTTTTATTCGGTCCCCGGAGTTTGCACCACTGTTGATTTTGGCATTGGAGAAATTTTGGTCCCCGCTACCATGGTTGCTAAATGCGTCAGCAGTACCATGGTTGTTGGATTTTGCAGCTTCGGCTTCTTCAGCCTCAAGCATGGCGATGAGGTTTTTGAGCACACGAGATGACATTCTTTGTATTTTTTGTATTTGGATGGTGTTAATGTTGCAACCAAAACCTTATTATATAGATGAAAGGATAGGAATATGACGCTTTTGCTTGTTGTTCACGCAAAATTTTAGAGAATATTGCTTCTAGCTTTAATATCGGTTAGGAAAATTGTTGAAAAAAATTTACGAAAAATTTGCAAATTCTTTTAGTTATAATTTTTTCACGGGAAAATTCAAAATCCCCACAACTCTATTTTTCAGTAAAATTGCAAACTTACTCGATTCTAATTTTTGTACAAAAAAAAAGTTATAAATTCTCTGAGTTTAATTTTTATACGATAAAGGTTAGGAACTCTATCTTCACACACAAGAAGAGCAGTTTGAATGTATTTTGAGGTCTAAAACAAAGGTAGACGATTTTTTTTTAAAGAAATATATATAACAAACTAGCAATTTAGTATCTAAGTTAATTTTTTTTTTAGTTTAAACTCTAAAATATAAATAAAAAAAATAACAATGCATAACTTTTAAAACATATAGAATTCATAAATGTATTCATTAGAATATATGAAATTTATTATGTTACCACTTGACATATTAATAATAACATAAATAAAATAAATAAATTTTAAAAATTATATTGAAGAAAGAGTGATTCGTTATGAACTTTTAATGCGTGGGAATAAAGAAATAAAAATTTATTGAATGAATTGTTATGAATAATGATACATACTATGACTATTTATATACAACCCTAATTGGGCTTTGGCTAACACAACTTGCATTATATTTAAATATTAAATCTAATCAAATATAATCTAATATTTCAACATACCCCTCCATAGTCCAAGTTGTCGAACATATGTTAATCATAGTCGATCTGAACTATTCCTAATTTCTTTCTCAAATTCAAGAATTTGTCAATCTTCAATCCTTTGGTAAAAATGTCGGTCAACTGTGCTTCACTTGAGTAGTGCCTAACTTCAAGTTCACCTCGATTTACCTTTTCCCTTAAGAAGTGAAATCTAGCTTTGATATGCTTACTTCTTCCATGCAGAAATGGATTCTTTGCTAGATTTATGGCTGACTTGTTGTCGATCTGCAGTACTGTCATACCCCAAATTTGTCCTACCTATTGACTAAGGTTCGATGGTCAGACGAGTTTTGTTTTATGATCAAGGCTATGATGTGCACAGTTCAGGTGATTGGTGGTTAGTGATCTAATTAAGGTTTATGTGACAAGTCAAGTCAGTTACGAATAAATCAAGTTGTCAGGACTGTGGTGAATTCAATTGTTTCAGGGTGTTGATCTTAAGGGTCTAGTTTACTTTTCAGTTAGGGTTTTGGGCTAATTCAAGATGTATATGGACTAAATTATCATACTGAATCAAGTTATCAGCGCTTCATGGTTGAGGATCTTCAAAAGATCAGTACATTTTACAGTCAGGGTTTTAGACAGTATAGTTTATATTTTAAGTCATGTTCCTTTGATTTCAAGGCAGATTCTTGCTTGTTTGGTTCACTGTGAAGGACTTGGTGTATGGGTATATAAATGGTCAGGTACAAACAAAATTCATTGATTCAAAGTTTCGGTTTATTCCAAAAATCAATGTTGATTTATGGTTTTATTCAAGATCTTATTTCAAGTAAAGATGATGGAATATGATTTCTTGATTCACATAATAAATTCAGATTATCATAATCTTTCAATCAAGAATTAAGGGTCATTTAAGATTAGTTACAAGTGGCACATGGAGGTGTGATCAATTCTTCAAAGTTCTAACATGAATTTTATGGCCAAAATTAAAATAAAATAAAATAAAATAAAAAAAAGAGATTCTACAAAAATAAGGTGATTCATGATATGTTCAAACCATAAGGCCTATTACAAATTAAAGGGTGTTCATAAAAAAAATTCTACAAAACCAAAGTCCATCAAGTTACAATTTACCATTTACCACCGTTTAGGTCCATTACATCAAGAGAAACCATTGAAAAAATATATATAGAAGAAAGGCCATGATCAAGTCAACGCAGCCCATGGCCCAAGCCACGCAGCACAAAATGAATGGAACGAACACATTTTTTTGGGGCAGAATCGCTGTTATCTTCAAGCAAAATACACACTATAGCAAAATATTTTCATATGACCACACATTAAAACAATCCCAGCCGATACTTCCGCAAGTCACGTACTTTCCACGAGACGCGCAAAATCTACAAAACACAACGCAATAAGGAATTACAAAAGAAAAGCAATCAATAATTCAGAACGTCACTCTCTCCTTCAAGCAGCTTCACCACAACCTTAATCCAACCAACTTCCACTAAATCACCTTCAAACTTTCTAATCCAGGAAACCACAAACAACCAGAACAACGAACTTCAAATCCTCACAAACCAACTTCGAACCTTTCGTGAATCCTATTAGAATATTAATAGTAATTCATATTTATTTAGTTATACTATTTTCTTAGTCCCTAAGTTTGTTAGAGGGTATTTTAGTATTTTATCTTATTCTAGTAACCCTAGTTTTAGCCTATAAATAGGGTGACAATCATTGTAACGCTTAATCCTGTTTTTCTGTCGTCATTCTTAATAGAATAATTCTACCTTTGCACCAACAATTGGTATCTAGAGCTCCGGTTCAGATTCATTGGGAAACACGGGAAACACGAGTGAACGTGAGGTCTTGTGTGTTTGATTTTGATTCTTAGATTCGTGTTGAATCTTGAACAAAATCTGATCAGAATTTTATTCTGTGGGTTGGGAAACACTGTGTGAGAAACATTGAGTGTATTGTGCAAGGTGAAGATGAACGGAAACGGCAACATGAACACCAAGCTTCCAATATTTGACGGTAAAAACTGGAATCGTTGGATGATCCAAATGCGTGTATTCTTTGGTGCTCAAGATGTTTTAGATCTTGTCACTGATGGTTATGTTCCGGTAGCAGCAGATGCAACAGATGAACAGAAAAACGCGCAGAAGGAAGTAAGGAAGAAGGATCAGAAAGCATTATTCTTTATTCATCAATGTGTTGATGTAAATGTGTTTGAGAAGATTGCAGATTCAACGACAACAAAGGCTGCGTGGGACACACTGGTTAGATGTTATGGTGGTGACGCATCAGTGAAGAAGGTGAAGCTTCAGTCCCTGAGAAAGCAATATGAGAATCTCAACATGAAGAATAATGAGAAAGTTTCTGAATACATCTCCAGAGTAATTCTGATCACTAATGAGATGAAGGCGTGTGGAGAAACTCTTTCTGAAGAAACAATCATGGAGAAGGTATTGAGATCCCTTACCTCTCAATTTGATTACATTGTGGTAGCAATAGAACATTCCAAAGATCTGAGTACCATGAGAATTGAAGAGCTGCAGAGCAGTTTAGAAGCGCAAGAGTTGCGTTTGACTGAGAGAACTTCTGAAAGGGAAGTAGAGCAGCAGGCTCTGAAAGCAACTTCTGATAGGAGGTATCAGAAGCAGTCAGAAGCCAAGAGAAGATCTGATGGTGGTCAGAAGTCAGAAAGCTCAACCTCTGATAGACAAAAGAATGCTCAGAAGGGAAAAGAGAAGTATGACAAGAAGAAGATCTAATGTTACTGTTGTAAGAAGTTTGGTCACTTTGCTAGAGATTGTTGGTCAAACAAGGAGAGAAAATCAGAAGAAGCAAATATAGCCAGAAGTTCTGATGACGAATATGTGCTATTGATGGCCTCTGAATCTGATGATCTGACAGACTGGTGGTATATGGACACTGGCTGTTCAAATCATCTTACTGGAAACAAGAAATGGCTGGTTGACTTTGACTCTGAAAAGAGGACAAAGATCAGATGTGTTGATGACAAATATCTTAATGCAGAAGGTATGGAAATGTCAGAGTGACTCTGAACAATGGGAAAACAGCATTGATTCAGAACGTGTGGTATGTACCTGGCATCAGAAGCAATCTGATGAGTGTGGGACAATTAATTGAGAAAGGTTTTTCAGTTACCATGAAGGACAATCTTCTGAAGCTGTATGACTACAATCAGAAGTTGATTATGGAGTCAGAACAGGGAAGGAATAGAACATTCAAGGTGAATGTCAGAACTGCAGACTCAGAATGTCTTAGTGCAACATGTGCTGAGAAGGAGAGTGAGCTGTGGCACAGAAGATTTGGTCATTTGAATTTCAGAAGCCTAAAACATCTGAATTCAAAGAAGCTGGTACATGGAATTCCTGCAATTAAGAAGCCTGAGAAGTCATGCAAAGTTTGCATGGAAGGAAAACAACCACGTTTGCCATTTGCGTCAGAAGTTGCTCCAAGAGCAAAACATGCCTTGGGAGTTGTACATTCTGATGTGTGTGGTCCATTTCCAGTAGCATCAATTGGAGGGAATAAGTACTTTGTGTTGTTTGTTGATGAATTCACAAGAATGACATGGGTATCCCTTATTAAATTTAAACATGAGGTGTTTGATGAATTCAAGAAGTTCAGAATGAAGGCTGAGAATCAGAGTGGTCAGAAGTTGAAGATTCTTAGAACTGATGGTGGAGGTGAGTATAACTCCAAAGAGTTCCAGAAGTTCTGTGAGGAGAATGGAATTGAGCATGAGGTTACTGCTCCTTATACCCCTCAACACAATGGTCTTGCTGAAAGAAGAAACCGTACTTTGCTTGATATGGTGAGAAGCATGCTAAAGGAGAAGAAGCTTCCTCAGAAGATCTGGGGAGAAGCTGTTGCCACTGCAATGTATGTACTCAACAGATGTCCTACGAAGAAGTTGAAGGAAATAGTTCCAATACAGAAGTGGACTAGAGATAAGCAAAGTGTTAGTCATCAGAAGGTATTTGGTTCTGTTTGCTATAAACATGTTCCAGAAGCCAGGAGACAGAAGCTGGATGATAGAAGCAAAGTGATGATTCTGATAGGGTACCACAGTACAGGTGCATACAAGCTCTATTGTCCAGAAACCAATAAAATTGAATTCAGCAGAGATGTGATTGTGAAGGAATCAGAAGTTTGGAATTGGGAT